AATCTAGTGGGATGACTAAGCTGACACGCAGAGGCCCCTACCTGGCGCGCCAATTGTCGGTGTTTCGGAACCGGGGGTCCTTAACCGACTAGTGAATTTGTGCTGCGTGCTCCCAATTCCGGATGGAGATGCAAAGAGACACAAGGTTTATACTAGTTCCAGCAATGGATGCCCTACGTCCAGTCTGAGAAGGTGTTCTTGTATTCCTTGCACCGGGGTGCTCGTAGTAGGGGGTTACAAGCTAGGCGAGAGAGGGAGTTCGTCCCAGATCTCTGTGAGGGGAGGTGATATGAAATTACAGAACGAGGCGTGTTGTTCGTGCGAGTATCTGTGATTCTATCCGTCGTCCTGGAAACGGTCCTGGCTGCCTCCTTTTATAGCCGCAGGGAGGAAACCAGGAGTACATAAGAGAGCTACATGTGGAGCAAGGACTATTCGATGACGTATTTACTCCTGGAGCAGCATGGCGTTGTCGTGGGAGTTCCTGTAGATGTCTAATCGGTATGGTCTTCACTGCCAGTAACATGTTGCACACTTATTGACTTGGTGGATTGCAGAGGCTCGACGGCCTTCGTAGCTGGTCGTGCCGAGGCCTGTCGTGCCGAGGCCTGTTATGCCGAGGCCTGTTGTGCCGAGGCCTACCGTGCCGAGGCCTGAGAAGTGACCCAGTGTGAGAATGCGGGTCTCGTGAGCCATCGAGGCGAGAATAGTGCGAGACGATGCGCCTCTGGGATCTGGTACTGTGTTGTCAGTAGGGATGGTAAAAAAGGTGATCTGACCGTTGTCCCGTCGCTCCTGTTGTAGCGCACTATCGATCGTGGCTTATGTAGTGGGTGCGGCCGAGCGCATTAATCGGATGTGATGCACCGCCGGAGAGACTTTTGAGGCGAGGCGGACGAGGTTGTGGGACAAGCTGGCCTCGGGCGCAGGCGGAGCGCGGCCGATTCATCCGAGGCCCTTCCGAGGGGTCTCGAAGGCGAGGCGACGGGCGAGGCGTAGTAAGATCAGTGAATCCGAGGCCCTGTCGAGGGGGCTCGGCGAGACGGAGTGGTCGGTCCGGCGATTCCGAGGCTACCGAGGAACCCGTTCGACTCCCCACGTTGCGATGTCCTTGGTGCAGGAGTTAGGCAAAGACGGTGGTCGGTAACCCCGCCTGTGCCGCCTCTCAGATGGCGGGGGTTGACGCGACCGCGGCGTGTAGCTGGTCACCGCCGTTCGTGCCATCGTGGCGCCGTCTGTCGAGTGGTTGGGCGCTGGATGTGACGTTGATCGAGCGGTTTGGTCAAAAGGCGGTCACGGGGTTGGTGCCGAGCCGGCCTCACGTGAATCGGAGAATCGGCACTTCTTCCGAGGCCCTGGGCGAGGGGGCCTCGACGCGGGGGCCTCGGTGAGGCGGTCTCGGGCGAGTCGGAGAACCGTTTGCTTCCGCTGGGGCTCGGCGACGGGGTCTCGGGCGAATCGGAGATTTCGGCCGAGACCTCATTTATTTATTCTGTTGGTTCTGTTTTTAGGGTATAAGCAGTTTTTCGATCTTTGCTTGGGGTACCCCATTTTCTGGTATCCGACAGTATGAATGGGGTTTTTAACGCCTTCATCTACAGGCTCAACTGTAAGGTGGAGTAACTTATCATACTGCCCATCATATCCATCAAGGTACGATTGATTCTTTTAGTTACTCTATTCTGCTGAGGTTCGCCCGGTGTAGAATACTGGGCTACTATGTCATTCTTTTAGGGTATGCTGACCGTAGTACTCCTCCACGGTCAGACCTGACTATCTTAATCTTTAATATCTTAAATTTATCCATTACATCTTTTCTTTCTTTGATTGGATAAATATAACCATAATGGGAGTAATCATCTTTGAATGTTATGAACGAATCATAACCATCCACACTCTTTACAGGAAAGCCGACCACAGATGTCAGTGTGGATAATCTATAAAATTTCTGTGCTTCGTTTGTCATCTTTCTTTATATACTTTCCTTTTATGCATTCTCTGCATTATTCTTAATCTGAGAGCTCTAATGGAGGAAGAATATCATTCTTAACTAGTCTTTCTATTCTCCCCCTCGAAATATGGCCTGAACGATAGTGCCATGATTTTCGACGACGCAATGTGAGCTCTCTTATGCCACCATTATCAGAGTGACTATCTGTCACCAGCTGCTTTATCAGCTGGATAGCACATGTCTTTGAAGAGCCAGTGAACTGACTCTTTATTCTATCGAGGTACTCGGTGACCGTGTCACACTCTGAGATTGAGCCCACGATTGCAAGCTCAATCATGTTCTTTATCATAGCCAAACTTTTTCTTGTTGGTAGTGATTCATTTCCTATGCCCAAAGAGTCATAGGATATCTTTTGGGATTCAAAATCCCTCTCTTTAGTTGCCCAAGTGGCATCATTCTCTTTTGTCTCCCTCATCGGTGCCACAAACTCAGTGGAACACGGTGAGGTGACTACCCAGTCCACCTTAGACAAGATGAAAACCAGGTCAAAACTTTTCTTAACATAAAAATAACACCATTTGCATGCCTTGATTCCAACGTTGGTCAAAATCAAAACATACAATTATTCTTATACACTAATTCTACATCACCGTTGGGCAGAAATAGAATTAATGCATAAATCATTAACATTATCAACTTTTCTTATACACTAATTTTACATCACTGTTGGGCAGAAGTAGAAATAATGCATAAATCATTAACATTATCAACTTTTCTTATACACTAATTCTACATCACCGTTGGGCAGAAGTAGAATCAATGCATAAATCATTAAAATTACGATATTGTTATTAACAACGTTGGTCAGAAAATAACAACATCATAATCATATCAAAACTCTTTTTCTCCAATTAAATACCATATTGGTTCAAAATAACTGGAGAATCAACAATTTCTTTAGCAGCAAAAAAACTTTCTTTTTCTCCGATTAAATATCACGTTAGTACAAATTAACTGGAGAATAAACAATTTCTTTGGCTGTGGAAAAACTCTCTTTTCCTTGAATTTTACCCATGGGGAAAATTGCTTTTTCTATTTCCTTTAATCCATTAATCAATTTTCAGGAAATAAACATTTACTGGAAAAACTTTTCTTTTCTCCAGTTAAATATCACGTCTGTTCAAAATCACTGGAGAATGTACTTACTCAATTTCTTGAATTTTACCCACAGGGAAAAATTACTTTTCTATTTTTTTGAGCCAATTTGCATATTCAATTTTCCAGAAAAAATAAAAAACGAAACTGGGCTCTTGCTCTTTACTGTTTCGGCCTGAAACGGCCCACGGCCCACAGCCGCACGCGCCCTTCCCGCGCGCTCACCCGCGCCCATGCCGCAACCTGGGCCTAGACCGGGAAAGTGGCCTCACGCCCTCGCCCGCTTGGGCCGAAAGGTGGCCCGGTTGATCTGCGCCGTTCGTTCTGATCGGACGGTCGCGCGCGCGGATAGGGACAACAAAACCCCGCCTGTAGCCGCGCCCTCCAAACCCTAGAGTCATTCGGCTCTTTCCTCTTCTCTGTCTACGCCGCTCTCTTCTCTCTCAGCGCACCCGCAGCCACCGAGAGGATATCGAGCGAGACCGAGCAGCGACCATGGCGCCGTCGCCGACCCCCTCGCCGGTGCGCGTGCTCCCCAACGAGTGAGCACGCCGCCGCCGAGCGGCCTGGCCGCGGTGCCCCCTTGGCCGAGCCCGGAGAGCCAGCTCCGCGGCTCGGCTTCTTCTCCCGCGCCGACGAAGGGACATCCGACGCGCGGCGAGGTAGACTTTCTTCTCCCTTCGGATTCGATTTCTATCTTCTTTCTTTTCTTTTCACTCGTTCACCCAAAAATGGGATCTAGGGTTGGGGTTTGGTTGAACCCGATTCGTGTTTTTTTTGTTTGATTCGAGTTCTCCAAGATTATCCCCTTTCCCCTCTTCGGATTTGGGTCTGCTTTTCTCTTATCCGAACAAGGATTTAGATCTAGGGTTCGGAATACGACCCTCCCCTTTTCCCCTTCTCTGATTTGTCTTTGGATCTACCATTCGAATCGGTTCCCTTCCCTTTCTTCCCCTTTCCCCTACTCTGATTTGGATCTGATTTTCTCTTATCCGAACTGATGTGGGGAATTAGGGTTTGGGTCTAGGGTTCCTTTTCTTTCTTTTGATTCGACCGATTCGGTTGTTCCCTTTGGAGTTCATTCGAATGGCTTTCTCTTTTTTTCCTTTCTCCATGCGAGTTAGGGTTAGTTCTTAGGGTTCGACCAAATCCAAATTAGATCTGTTCTGTTTTTGGGTTAGGGTTCGGCTTCGTGAGCCGAGGGCCCTATCTCTTCTCTGATCCGAATGGATCTGTTCTTTTCCCCTTGCGCGGTGGCGGTGGTGACCGGGTTCCAGTGACATCCGCCACCCTCGGTCCCTTTTCTTTGCTTTTACCCGGTTAGGGTTAGGATTACACAGAGGCAACCGGCTCCGATACCATTGTTAGGATCGAAATGTGTACCTCTCTGTTTGTAACCGGTAGATCCAGGAAAGACCTCATCCTTGTCTTCTCCATAGATGCACCACAGCGGATAGACGCCATTGCCGCGGTAGCTCCGGCTCGGTGGAGTCCGTAGTGGTACTGCCGTGGTCCGGTGGTGGCCCTGTAGAGGTGCGATGGCGGTGGTTAGGGCACATCCTGTCGCTGACAGCACGGTCTTTAGATCGGTTTAGGGTTACTATAGGTGGGTGTGGTGGCTCACGGTGAACCTCGTAGTCCGAGCCCTCATCCCTACCTTCCTTTTATGTGTGCTGTGCGACAGGGGCCCACCAACCGGATTAGGGTTGGGCTACTCCGATCAAGGAGCAGAGATAAGAGCCCATTGATAGAGATCAACTAGCATGCAGCCTGTTCGGGAGGCCGTATCGTATCGTGGATTATTTACTGCTGACTGGTTTGGTGTGAGAGAAAAACACTGTTCTCGATTAGAAATTTACGATCGTTTACGAGCAAGCGAAAAGGCGGATGCAGATCACCTGCTTTGCTGGTTGCGTCTACACCAGGGAGCTGTGGACCAAGCTTCTGTGCGGGCTACGCCTTGACTCGCCACCGCCGAAGATTTTCTGCTTCCCTGGTTGATTGGTGGCTCGGACGACGTATGGAGCACAACACAGATATCAGAAAGGGCTTTGACTCCTTTGTCCTCCTCACTACTTGGTGTATTTGGCGTGAACGCAACCAAAGAGTCTTCATGGCCTGTCAAAGCGGCCGCACCAGATGTTGGAGGACATTATCGCTTAAGGGACCTCATGGCTGCAGGCAGGCTCCAGGAGCCTTGCTGTGCTGTTGGCGGTTGCGTCTGTTTAGTGTTGCCATGCTCCTAAAATTTTGCAAATTTTTTTAAGATTTTTCATCACATCAAATCTTTGGACGCATGCATAAAGCATTAAATATAAATAAAAAATAAAACTAATTACACAGTTTAGACGAAATTTACGAGATGAATCTTTTAAGCCTAATTAGACTGATGAGACACTAATTATCAAATAACAACGAAAAATGCTACAATACCGTTTCCCAAAAACTTTCGCCAACTAAACAAGGCCTTAGTCGCAAACACCCCACTCGCTTGATCGTATCAACCATATTTATCAACCACGATACAGTGTTTTTCTCTCACAATAAAACAGCATCAGCCAGCTTATAAGCCATATAAACGATCAAGCGAACCAGGGGATAAGCCACGGAAAATTGTTTGTTGTATAATAGCTAATGGCCCCGTTCGCGTGACCTTAAATCCGACTTGATCCGTTTATTTTTTCATCCGAAACAGTGTTTTTCTTTCACAAATTCCTCCAGCATTCCTTTAACCCATCTAAATTCGTCTAGACTTCAGACAAGCGAACATGCCAATGATCTTTAGTTCTGTGCACCGGGGGTTCTCGGTCTGCGTGACTACGCCTCGCACCACCAAGAATCAGCTAGTGCGGGTTCTGTATTGAAAAAAAAACTCCTTTCTTCTCGATGGAAAACTTACGCCCCGGTGCATATTCGCGAAAAAAAAGCCACAACTTTTTGCATCTTGGTCTGGTGAGTTGTGCGCGTAAAAGTTACTCCCTCCGTCCCTCAGTAGAGGACGTTTTGCGATTCAAAATATGTACCGTAAGAAAGACGTTTTAGGTAGTATAGTGGGTCCCACCCTATGATGCAGTACACCAACAGTCAATCCATCGTTTCCCTGCCGGCACTACGGAATAAAAAAACGAGGACAAAAAACAGACGGAGGAGCCTGGGAGGAGGCTTATCCTTTCCTCCATTCGTCCTTGGGTGGTGCTCGCGACGCGGGTTCTCCCGTTCGAGAGCAGGTGGCGCCGGCGGCCCCTTCCCTCCTACCGGTCCATCGCCACCCACCACAAACCTCGCAGTCCAAGAGGGCGACCACAGCGGAGAGGGCGTGGATCTGGGCGGAGCTCCAGCGTGACGGCCAGGCGCGGAGGCAGGGCCATCGACGACCGGCGATTCCGCCTCGCAGCCTTCACCGGCGCACGGGGCAAAGCGGGCCGGAGCCCAGGTGTGCCACTAGGTCGCAGCGGGCAGGTGCGGCGGCGGCCCCCTCTCTGCGACGCCCATCGCCCTCCCCAGATCGCAACATCCCCCGGCGCACGGGCAAAGGCGCCGGCCGGAGCCAGGAGGACCGGGACTGCGTGAAGCGCGGCGGCCAGGCCTCGAGGTGGCCCCATCTGCTCGATCGATCGCTGGTGGGCTGCACCGCGTCCGCGCCAGGGCTGGCGCTGGATTGCTGGACATGCAGACGACGGTCAACGCTTCCTGCTGCTGCTTCCCACGCCACGATGCATGACAGGGGCCTAGGCCTAAGGTGAGGTTTATCCATTCTGATGGCCAGCAATGGACTAGTCGGTTCCTCCAACGATTGCGGATGCTGCTCGCCTTGGGGATCATATCGACCGGTGCGTTGTGTTCTGTCAAACGGATGCGTGGCCAGGATCGTCGCCGCCAAACTTTGTGGGACAAGAAGCTAAACCGTGTCGCCATAGAAGGTCAGGATTTTGCTCAGGACACGCAGGAAGGGGGTACAGATCGATTCGAGTTGATCCCCGATTCAGATGACGAAGGCCCCCATGATGTTTCATCCTTAGTTGCCGGGGACGATGAGTTTGTGCCTGAAACAGAACCACAAGATGTTCCTGAGGTAAAGCACATTGGCAAGCACCATGTTGCATGAATGGCTCTAGTTTTTGGCGAGTGATTAGGACTGCACAACGCATATTGGAAAACGCAAGCACAAAGCACATTGGATGCAACGAGGAAAAGGATCATGACAAGGATGATAAGGAGCATAAGGCCAGCTTCTCTGATGTAGAGACAGATGATGAAGCTACACCAATCAGTGTGTTCGAGGCAAGAGGTAAGGAGAACTAAGACCATAGACGAACATGGTAGTAGACCTGCTTTTGTTGCTTATATGTTGAATGGTTGGGCTCCCTTCTTTTGATTATGCCCTTTCCTTGTATATATATGGAAAGGTGCATGCTGTAGTTGTGTATAATGTAGTAGTTCTATGTATGGGGTAGGTACATGCTGTAGTTGTGGATAATGTAGTAGTTCTGACTAGTGTTTCATGAAATGGTACTGCTGTTTCAATAAGTATAAATGGGAACATGGTAGTAATTGAATAAATATGTAGCACAAAGTACTTTTGATCGATTTCCATGCCATAAGCGTTGTTTATATATACAACTGCCGGATAAACATATAATCAAGTGCTAGACAACAACACCCTTAGTTGCTGCACAAGACAAAAGGTAGACAATCAGCACCCTTAGTTGTTGCACAACTCAAAAGCTAGACAACCAACACCATAGTTGCCGAACAATTCAAAAGTGAGAGAAACAATTCTATTAGTTGCTCAACAACTCAATTGCCTTCTGAACTATCTCCTTATCACAACTAAGAGATTTGGGAAGCAAGCCTTGTGCCTCGAGCCGCTCCTTATTCATGTGGGGGATCTTGTACCTATTCCCTCCATTATCTTTCATAACTTCAATCATGCATCCTTGTAGCGTGAGGAATATCCTATTCAGAAGAACAGGGTTGTAGTTTTCATATTCATTGATCACATTCGCGATGAGCTCATCCATGTTTCTAGATGTCGTTCTATCCGTCAACGACTGAATAGAAGCAAAGAAGCCAAGGTCTAGGCAATTCATATTAGGTGAATTAGCAGGTTGATTCATTATGCATATATCAAGGCCAGTTTGGGCAACTGCTGCAGCAAACTCTGGATCATCAGCGCGTACATGTGATGGAGCATTGTCCTACTGTATCCAAATTGTATCGTGGGCATCTTCTCGAGGCCAACGAATGTGTATAGCTTCAAGAAGTTTTGTGGTCATATAAGATCTCATTGTTTGTCTATCAACCTTCATTATCTTCTTGATAGGTGTGCCCCTGGACCTATTGCCACTTCTTTGTGCCGGTTCCTAAAAGTAGAAAGGTTCTTATTAGAAATAACAGAATAGTGATTCTTATGTAGCGAAACAAGAATAAAACATGACCAAGATTGCTACCTCACGGACAAAAGGCCATACGCCTAATTTGCCATCAAAATAACATATACCTTCAGTATCAAACCTAGGCTGTGTAACTCTAGAATAAAACATGACTTTGTGAATGGCATTCTTGTTTTGCACTGTCCTGTGTGGGTCTTCTTCGTCTAGATGCATGTACATAGTCTTATTCTTTCTTGTCCCATTGAACCACTTCTCATCTGTGTGGATAATATTTTTTATTTCTTTGAACTTGGGATTATTTGACAGTGTACTTGGTTCTAGCATAGAGACACACCACTGCAGCCTAGACTTTTTATTTGCTTCCTTCAAATAGGGCTTCAGTGAGTTGAAGTGTCGTCGTAGCAATCCTTGTTTAAACGACCTATGCAGAGTGCTTTTATTGACACCTAGAGCATTTGCAAGTGACCTTATAGTACCCCTTCTGTTTAGGGGATATCTGGAACTGTAGGGAGGTCCACTTGAATTTTTTTTACGACCGTGGTTCTTAGGTTTTAAACCATTGACATTTACTGGTATGCCCTGTGCCCAACATTTTTTTTGCTCTTCCATACACGTTGTATGGTACGTATATGGACATTGTACTTCGCTGCAATAATAGTTGTACTGTTTCTTTTTAATTTTCCATTCTTACTGCTCCGAAGCAAATCTTCAAATATGTCTCGTCTTTGTCTATCTATTATATCCTTCTTCCTATGTCGGGCCTGATCATGATGTGCTTGGTCGTCATCTACATCATCATGTGCTTGCTCATCCTCTTCATCATCATGTGCTTGGTCATTCTCTTCCTCATCATGTGTTTGTTGATCCTCTTCACCATCTGAGTCCGACAACTCCTCTTCATCAAAGGCGATGTCAACAGTTTCAGTGTTGTCGGTGTTTCGAGTAAACACCAACGAGTAAATTTATATTATTGCGCATTGGGCCCGGATGATATGCTAAAAGACACAAGGTTTATACTGGTTCGGGCAGAATGTCCCTACGTCTAGTTTGCGGTTGTTGCTCGTGTTATTAGCACTGAAAGGTTCGTAGTAGGGGTCACAAACGGGCGAGAGAGGGACAGGTCCCAAGTCTCTGATGAAAAGGTTAATAGGACGCTAAGAGCTTTGTTACTGCTCCGCTGTGTTATGTGATGCGTGGTGTGTTCTATTGATCCCTCCCTCTAGTGGGGTGCCCTGCCTTTCCTTTTATAGACCAAGGGGTAGCAGGGATTATAGATGAGAGAAAGAAGAAAAACTAGGGGCAAAGAAGGTCCTTTGAAGGTGCTGGGTCTTCCTTTTCCTCCGAGCGAACCCTGCTGACACGGCAGACGGTGTCAGGGATAGCTCTATGCGGGGCGTCTATCTGCTGATGATGCCATGCTCTGGCTTGATCAGCAAGTGGTCACATCCCATCCCGCCCCGGCGGGCGACGCGACGGATCAAGGTGTTGATCCACGACCCTATGGGGAGTGAACGGCGCAGTGACCGCACGTCCGTCACTGTAGAGGATGTGAGTCTCCTCCCGGACCATAGTGGTTGTCGTATTCTTCCGTCAGGATCCGCGCCCTAGGGTAAATGGTGGCGCCCACAACACTGTAAAACAAACATTGGCGCCCGCAACATTGTTCGGGCTCTGATATGTCCGGAAGGGCTTTAAAGCGCCCATCTTGTCATATCCTGATGGTACTTTCCTGCAGGCAAGCATGGTATGGTCCTCGGTATTGCGGTTGACTTTGAATGAACTGCCTTATCCGCGCGTGTAGTTATGAAGGAGCAGCGCATAGACGTCTGGTGAGACGGAGCCTGCCCTCAGACGTCGGGCGAGGCGGAGCTAGCCCCCGGCGGTCGGGCGAGACAGAGCCTGTCCTCGAACGTCGGGCGAGGCAGAGCCAGCCCCGAGGGTCGGGCGAGACGGAGTCTGCCCTCGAACGTCGAGCGGGTGGAGCCTGCCCTTGGACATCGGGCGAGGCGGAGCCAACTCCCAGACGTTGGGCGGATCGGAGTCTGCCCTCAGACATCGGGTGAGGCAGAGCCAGCCCTTGGACGTTGGGCGAGGCGGAGCCTACCCTCGGACGTCGGATGAGGCGGAGCCAACCCCCGGTCGTCGGGTGGGGTGGAGTCTGCCCTCAGACGTCGGGCGAGGCAGAGCCAGGCCCCTGATGTCGAGCGAGGCGGAGCCAACCCCTGGACGTCTGGCGAGGCGGAGTCTGCCCTCAGACGTTGGGCGAGGCGGAGTCTGCCCTCAGACGTCGGGTGAGGCGGAGCCAGCCCCCGGATGTCGGGCGAGGCAGAGTTAGCTTGGGGCGGGGCCCATGGTCCTAGTGGATGGACAAGGAGTGACCCGATAAGCGGTGTAGTCGCGCTCTTGATTGTGCGGATGAGTCAGCGTTCGACGGTTGTTAGCTCCTTCTCTTTAGGTACCCTAATATTGGTCCCCGACAGTAGACCCCGAGTGATTCGAGCAGAATCGCCTGGGGGATTTTTGACTTGCCAGCGGGTGCGCGCGAGCGCACCTGGTGGGTGTAGCCCCCGAGCCTGCGGAGGATTAGGATACTCCTTCAGAGGGTTTTCCAAAAGAGAGGATTATGAGAGCCCTAGCCCTCCATTGTTGCCCATGGCGTGCCCTGAAGATGCAATTTCTCCTTCGCCGAGGTCGGACCCTCCACGGGTATGGTCGTGAGATTTGGTTGTTGTTTAGCCGGATAGCTCAATTGGGATCCTGACATCCCGTTCACGAGGATCCGGTCAGAGTCATCCCGGTCGAGACTCGATCGCGGACCGAGACTCTCGTGAAGCTTGTGCGCCTAAGTTTTGGCCAATTGTGGGCCCATCCTTTTGTCATAAGGGTGCCTTGGGACGGCCATCGAAACCATTGATGGGCCAGCCCTAAAACTCCTAGGCCCAGCCAGGCTGGAGGAACGCTTTTTGACCCATATCCTTTTGCTGGTAAAGAGTCCTAGTCTGCCTGGGGAGGCAAAACGTCCGGCGCGACTTTGGAGGGAAAGGATAGGGATTGGGGATGCATATCCCGTGTGGTGATGTGGTGGCGAATCATGGTAGGCGTGGAGATCTAGGCGGACGGTTGCCGTCCTGGCATCCGTCGCCCCTATAAAACCAAAGGGTTTGCCCCCCAGGGTTTCGTACATTGCCTCCTTGCCTTTGCATCTACAA